TTTCTAACCCCACAGTCCCATTTCAGTCCCTTTTTCATTTCCGCACCACACACACACAATTTTCACCCTGCTTGTCCCGCGCATTGCACATTCTGCTGGAGTCCCACAGAAGCACTTCTCACCTCCAGAGTCTTCCAACAGCACCTGCAAGGGGTCTTTTATCTGCGAAGTACATTGACCTTCAACGTATTCGGAAAGAAACTATTTTCCAAAGGTTTCAACTGTGCTGGAATCCCATTTATCTAGTGAGACTGCAAATTCCTTAAGAGTGTGGACACTCCTTGGCATCTTCTTCTAAGACACTCGGTAAATATTAATGGAATAATTGAATAATCGAATAATTGTATCCTCTCTCTTTGTTTTTTTCCTCTCTTTTTTAAGAACAAGTAATTTACCATGGTGCTAACTTCAACAGGTAGATGAGGATACCTAGTATAAGGCTTCCCTCCCATCCCTGCTGCTAAATTACCAGATTGTTTTCCCTAGAGGCAACCACCATTAACGGTTATTGTGTATCCTTCCAGAAATATTTTATGCTTCTCCAAGCAAATACATACAACTATTATTTTTCCTCCTGTTACATATGAGTAGCTGGCCATACAAACTTCTCTGTACTTTGCTTTTTCTTTCTTTCTTTCTTTCTTTTCTTTTTTCTTTTTTTTTTGCTTAGAAATCTATCTCCGTATGGTGATTTTAGAGATATGTCCACAGATTCTTTGATACATGTCTCCTTATTTATTTATTTTTTTAAAAGATTTTTATTTTATTTATTCATAGAGACAGAGAGACAGGTAGAGACACAGGCAGAGGGAGAAGCAGGCATCATATAGAGAGCCTGACGTGGGACTCGATCCAGGTTCCAGGATCACGCCCTGGGCTGCAGGCGGCGCTAAACCGCTGAGCCACCCGGGCTGCCCTGCATGTCTCCTTAATAGGTGGATTTATCTCCTCTTGACTATGGAATGGCCTTGGTAGCTTGTTTCTAGTGCATAGAAAGTCAGCAGAAATGATGTGGTGTCACTTCTGAGATGGGGTTATAAACAAACTTCCCCTTCTGTTTTGGAAGATCTCTGTCTCTTGAATCACTTGGAAACCACTGTTACATCCGGGGACACTCAAGCAGCCTAGGAGAGGCCTGTGAGGGGAGCCACTGAGGCTGGCCCACAACTGTGTTAGTGTAGACATTGCTAACAGTGACAGGATGACCCAGGAGCGGGTCCTCCATCTTCCCTAGTCAGGTTTTGATGTGACTCCCAACCTCAGCCCCAGCTGATAACTTGCTTCCAGCCTTCATGGGAGACCCTGAGCCAGAGCCCCCAATTGAGCTGCTCCCAAATTCCTGCTCATGGAAACCAGGAGATAGTAAATGTTGCTTTAAGCCAAAGAATTTGTTGTGCAACAACAGATAATATGCTTGGAGATCTTTCCACATGAATTACATAGAGGGCATATTTATTCTTTTATAGCTATTTTGTATTCCATTGTCTGGACGGAGCATTATTTATGTTAACCAGTTCCCTATAAATGGACATCACAGCTATTTCTAAGCCTGTGTTCTTTGAACCATGCTGCGATGAAAAATGTGATACATATGTCATCCCACATGTGTATGAGTACAACTGTAGGATAAATTTCTAGAAATGGAAAAGCCATGTCAAAGGATTCATGGTTTTGTTATTTTGATAAGTCCTGACAAGTGGCTTTATATAGAGGTTGTACCAACATATGCCTCTATTGGTAGATGAAAGGGCTGGTTTGCCCACACCATCATCATCTTCTAGAAGTCTTCTGGAACAGGGCACATAGGAGGGACTTAATAAGCCTGGTAATTGAATGACATCTTCCACATCTCAATAAGAAATGAACCAAAATACCATTGATTTGTTCAGGATCCCAGAGATTCTCTGGCCTTGCCCAGCAAATTCAGTCTTTGCACGGAGCAATGATAGCAGTAAAAACAGCAGTGGACAGTAGCCTGGTGTTGAAAAGAGTAAAATAAAATAAAACCAGATCAAGCCTAGTCTTTTCAGTTTCTGCTCACAGTAAGAAGGGAAACACCCAGGGGCGTGAAAATCCTATGCTGTGGAGATGCAAAGGGAGATCTGTAGTTTGCAGGTGTCTGATGACCTTACAGTCCCTGTGGGGAGTGTGGGAGGACACTGCTGGCAGCCCTCTGAACCTGGTGAGGTGCTGAGCCTTCAAAAGAGTCTGCTCCAGCTTTTCTTTCCAAGCAGAGCTGCTGCCAGGGGCTCCCGCAGCAGGAGGTGGTGTATCCTGGTGGCAGGAGCACACCTGTGAAGCCAGCTCAGAGCTGATTGAAGCAGTGAGTGTTGGCTCTCACCTGCAGGCTCCTGCTTCTTTTGGCTTCTGGCCATTGGGCATGGTTGTCTTCTGCCAACTGTGCACAGGCCTCCTTTTCCTTGGTCTAGGAGAGTGGAGGAAGAAAAGGAAGGAAAAACTAGCCTAAAATTCTGAGGAGGAGAAAACTTAAGTGGTAGAATTATCAGGAAAGCACGAACTCTATGACCTCTTCCTGACTCCTGGTATCCAACTGGAAGTGAATGGCTTTGTATAGGAGACTTTTTCATATACTCACTCATCCAACTGACCAGTATTTACTTTGTGCAAAGTTCTTGCTAAGTGCAAACCTCCAGCTCCTTCAAGATCTGTTCCCACTGAGAACACAGGATCTGGACGCATTGCTAGATGCCAAGCCGAATCCTCCATGAACTCAACTATTTATTTATTTATTTATTTATTTATGTATGTATGTATGTATGTATGTATGTATGTATTCATGTATTTATGTATTTATTTATTTATTTTTCACTTTTTTTTTTTAAGTTAAGAAAGGTTTCCAGGAGATGGTGAGTTTTATTGTCTCGTCTGGATAGAGGTTTGATTTGCTCTCGAATGTTCCAGGGTGGAGAGACTAGGAGAAAGCACAGGATGCAGAGGTCTATTCGGTGTAATCTTCTCCCTCGTTCTCATCTTCACCATCAATGGAGAGAGCAGCCTACTTGCTTGCAGAACTGAACTTGGAAGCTGGATTTTCTTCAGGTTTCTTTGGCTCAGGTGCAGATAGGGAGTCTTGATCCTTTTTGCTGTCTTTCCTATCCGGCTCCTTCCAGTGGTCTTTGTTCCCTCCGTCTCCGGGACCACGGCTGGAGTTCCCACGGTGGCCTTTTGGGACACTCACCCCATCTACTTTGTTTTCATCTGCTTTCCTTGCTGGTCCTTCCTCTGAGCCGGGACTGCTTTCCCCCCACCACTCGTAGGGGACTGTTGCTCTGTGTTTGAGCTCTGAGATCGAGCAGGAGGGTTAGAACTTCACTTCACCCAAGCATTCTCCTTTGGTGGAGGGGCTGGCATTACCTTCAGAAGCTGTTCAGATTTGGGTGGCTTAGAAGTTGGAGTGCACTCAACTACTTAAAAGAACCCCCCACCTTATCCCACCCAAACCACTTCTTCTCTCCATTACACTTAGAACAAATCTTAGCAACTCCACCTGCCACAGGGGCCCTGAATACCCGAGCTCACAGTTCATTCCTCATCTTTCTATCTTGATACCTCCCCTCAAAATCTACAATCTAGCCACATTAAATCTACATCTGGTTTGATCATTCATGTACTCAATCATTTATTAATTCATTTTTATCATGTGGTATACCAGGCTCTGTTTTGAGTGCTACATGTGTATCTATGAAAAAGATAGTGGATCCCTGTATTCAGGGATCAAACTTCTGGTTTTGAAGGAAGACGATATGTGAGCAAAGGAAGACGATATGTGAGCAAATAAATAGCCAAGGCAGGTGTGATAGTGCCTTGATGGGAATAATTACGGTGATGAATAGAGAAGAGTGGATAAAGGCTAGTCAGGGAATGTCTTTCCAATGACATGATATTTAAGCTGAGGCCTGAGGCCTGGAGGGAGGCAGCCACACTTAAGATCTTGGGGACTTGCTTTCTAGCAAAGGGGACAACTTGGGCAAAGGCAAAGACCTTGTTCATTTAACCCCAGGGCTTCATTCATTGCTGTATTTTTCTCTGGCACTCCCCTCAGGACAAATCCTGCTTCTGTCACATAGATGCTTCTTCCTCCAGGAAACCTTCCCTGATTACCACTCGGAGTGAGTGGCTTCTCCTCCTACTCCACTTGGGGTCATGCTTCCCTTCACCCTAGGTGATGCTTGTACATTGAAAATACTTGCCCTTTTACTTAGTAAACTTTGGACTAGCCAGGACCATGTTTGACTTGCTGACTATTGGAGCTGGTTGTGTTTTGAGTTGTGTATCCAAAAATAATTCTAACTCCTGGTTCCTGTGAAGGTGGCCTTATTCAGACACAGACTTTTTCAGATATAGTTGGTTAAGATGGGTCATCTGAATGAGGGTGGGCCTTAAATACAAAGACTGGTCCTTTTAAGGAGTGAGAAAGTTGGAGACAGGGGCACACAGCAGGAGGAGGGTCCTGTGAAGATGGTGGCAGTGGTGACCAGAGTGATGTAGCTGTAGGCTGGCCAATGCCAGGGCCTGCTGGGAGCTGGGAAGCTAGGATGGGGCAGAGCCAGGCTCTTTCTCTAGGAGACCAACTATAAGAGAGGTTCTCCCCTGGAGTCTTCATGGGAGCATGGCCATGCCAACACCTTGACCTCAGACTTCTAGGTTCCATAGCTGTGATGGAACATGTGTCTGCTGTTGAAGCCACCTTGCCTGAGGTAATTTGTTATGGCAGCTATGGGGAGCTCTGGTGTGCCAGACCCCAGGGGGATTCCTGCATGCTGCTCAGTTGGATGGATGAATGCCTAGACTGTGTGGTCACCTCTTCTGTCCCGTGTGTGACTTCGGTGTCCCCTGTGTCCAGTCATGGGCCCTCACAGAGTACAGGCCACTGGGCAGGAAGGAGGTCACATGCCTGCCTCAAGTTTTCTTTTTCTTTTTTTTTTTTAAGATTTTATTTATTTATTCATGAGAGACACAGAAAGAGAGAGGCAGAAACACAGGCAGAGGGAGAAGCAGGCTCCATGCAGGGAGCCCGATGTGGGACTCGATCCCAGGTCTCCAGGGTCACACCTGAGTCGAAGGCAGATGCTCAATCCCTGAGCCACCCAGGTGTCCTGCCTCAAGTTTTCAGGTAGGAAATCCTTCCTGGTGTTTCTCTTGAAGATATGTGTTGTGTTTTTCTTTAGAATACTGAATCCTGAGAAAAAATTGTTGAGAATCATAAAAAGGGAGAAAGTCTTACAAGTCTCCCGGGAGAATTAAGGATAATTAATTATAATCCTTATAATCCACATACATATCTTTCAGCTCTGATGGAGTCCACTAAGATCGGTCAAAAGTGTGAGCAGGAAATGCTGAAGTGTGGCATTGAGGGTTAAAGTGGGTAGTCTGTTAGCTGAGACAGAAGCAGGCAAGAGAGGTAGGATCACAATTCGATCAAGCTATCTTGTTTGTAGCCATTGCCAAGTTAAAAACGTGTGCTTATGGTCCTGTCTGCTGGACGACCCTCACCCTTAGGTGACTTAGTCACTCATGCAAATGAAGTACATACTACTAAGTATATGTGTAACATACTGTCTACAGATATTTTGAATGATGTCCCAAGAAATAACAAGTTTGGGTATTAAAATAAGTCCTTAAATTGGCAATTTGACATACAATTCTATGTGATGCTATTATTCTGGCTGGGAGACCTGGATGCTGTATTATATGAATACCACTCAAAAATATTCCCTGGTGCTTTTTGGAGTATGAAAACTCACTATCAACTGCAGTCCTTTGTAAATATTTCCCAACTGAATTCTCCTTGTTTACTAAATAAGTTTCTTAAGAAACATATTCATAATAATAAAGAATATGAAGAATGTTGGAAGTATTTTAAAAATAATATGATTTTGGGAATTCTGATTTCTTGCTTCCAAACCTAGATTAATATCTAGTAATTTGGAAACACTATAGTCCCACCTTAGAAATTGCTGCCACACCTTTAATAGAGGCTGGTTGACTCTCAAAGCCCTCACAATCTTTTTCTTTGGGCTAAAAGTAGGAGCCCCAGTCTACTTGCCCAAGTGGGAGCCCGACTCTGCTCTTAGCCAGCTGTGTGAGCTTGAGCAAACCATGTTACTTCTGTAGGCAGTTTCCTCGTCGCTGTTCTTGTGCATTGAATGGCTAGACGATCTCACAGGTTTCTCCAGCCCCTACAATCTACAATTTAACCTCTCTGCTTTAGGCTGCATTTTTTAGTGTAAATATCCTGTAATCTGCTTCCCAACGCAATTGGCAGGCTTTCCTTTGTGTCCAGGGAGGATTAGTTAGGGACAATTTGACACCATGTGCATCCCTTATATACATTACTTTGCTTCATTCTCATCACAATGCTATGAGGGAAGCTTTGTTATCCTATTTTACAGATGAGAAATCTGAGATTCAGAGAAGTCAGGTGTTGTGCCAAGGTCAGACAGCTGGAAAGTAGCAGATCAAGTGGAAGCAGGTTGGGAGGCATCCTGGGAAATGACCTCTGGGCTTGGGTAGAAATGGGCTACCCCAAGAGCCCTCCTGCTCTGTTTGTATTTTTTGCCAATAACTACACAGACAAAAGGGAAAGTTACATCTTGTGAGAAATACTGGTTGTCCCAACACTACCAAAACCTTGGTTTTAATGCTGAGGATGCAAAGCATTAAGGTTTTGGTACAGATTAAAGTATGTGGTGGGAGGGTAGATTGTTATGTCTTTTCTCCAAAGGGGCTTGGTGGGTGCCTGTGTGTGGGGACTGTGTTAGGCCCCCAGTAAAGAAGTGGATCAAGTCCATCTCACCCACATGAGCCCCATGATGTGAGGGGGAGGAGGTAGGGGAGGACACGCTTCCCTGGCCATACTGAGTATGGCTGGAGGGCACTTGCAAGGTAGAAGGAATCACCTCTTTCACTCTTGTGCATCAGTCTCCCCTTCAGTAAAATGGAAGGAATGGCTTCAGAACACATGGGGAATGACGGCTCCTTTCTAATTTGTATTCCCCAGGTATATAATTAAAATAAAGCTGTGTTTATGCTCCCAGTTTTAAAAAGTCTTAATGCCAGGGCTCCTAGGTGACTCAGTGGTTGAGCATCTGCCTTTGACTCAGGGTGTGATCCCGGGGTCCTGGGATCAAGCCCTACATCAGGCTCCCCCCAGGGAGCCTGCTTCTCCTCCTGCCTGTGTTTCTGCCTCTCTCTCTCTGGTTCTGTCATGAATAAATAAATAAAATCTTAAATAAAATAAAATAAAAAGTCTTAATGCTATAAATTTTAAATTATAGAACAGATAGCCATAATCATGTTAAAAATTGACTCTTCACTTGGCCAGAGGATCAAGGCAGGTATCTTTGGAAAAGAAGGCTTCCCCCTGTGATGGACTGAATTGTGTCCTCCCAAAATTCTTACATCAAAAGCCCCAACTTTCAGTATGACTGTATTTGGTGAAAGGAGTTTTAGGAGATAATTAAGGTTAAATGTGACTATAAGAGCGGAGCTCTACTCTGATAGGATTGACAGCCTTATAAGAAGAGGAAGAACAGAAGGCAACGTGAAGAAAGAGAGAAGGTGGCCATCTGCCAACAAAGGGGAGAGGCTTCACTAGATACCTTGATTTTGAACTTCTAGCTTCCTTAACTGTGAGAAAATGTTGGTTAAGCTCCATCTGGCAGCCCAAGCTGACTGATAGTCTGCCTTAGTCCACTTGGGCTGCCATAGCAAAACGCCATAGCTCGGGTGGCTAAGAACAACAGGTGAAAAGCCTCTTTCTGGTTTGTAGCTTGCAATTTCTTGGTGTGTTCTCGCATGCTGAAAGGGATTAGGAACTCTGTGGGGTCTGTTATAAGGACACTAATCCCATTAGTGACTAGGAGACTTAATCACCTCCCAAAGGCCCTACCTCCTAATACCATCATCTTTGGGGTTTAGGATTTCACCATATGAATCTCTGGAGATACAAACCTTCAGACCTTAGCATATACCCTTCCTGTCCTAACAGCATGTAAATGTATTTTGACTTAGTTAATATGAAGAAAAGATATGTGCGTGTGTACATTCTGTTACTTTATACAAGCACTCTGAGAAACACCATCAGAGTATGAGTGAGAGACTCCTCATTGAGAGTAAGAGGCCCCTTTCTCTGTGTTGCAGGGGCCTCATCACAGAGAAACCCCTTCTGAGACCCTGATAGCATCTGTGACCTCGAGGCCATGTGTTCTCCGTGGTCCTGCATGCCCTGTTCTCCCACTCCCCAAAGTAGACAAGCAATGGACTGGTCCAGCTTTATTCCTGTCTCCTAGCAACCATCCTTGGAAGATGGAAAGTGAATGTTAAGGTCTGGAGATTGGGCTGGGTCAGAGGGCAGGCAGGAGGGCTGGGATTGGGTGCTGCTTCTGAGAGACCATATCTTCAGGGTTTCTCCTGGGTGTAGTGGTGGGGTGGGGGTGGCATTATTATTTAACTGTGTAATTTCTGTTAACAGAATGGATGAAAAAGTTTCATCAAGCAATTACACCAAGGAGTCTGACTTGTTCCAAAACACAAAGGCAACAGACAGCAAAAATTAATGTACATGCGTGCTTGAGCACTAAGTGTTTGCCCCACATGTAATGAAGGAGATACCCTGTCCTCCTTCTGAGTTGCTTATGGTGGCATAAAGGAGGCATAAAGAGTTATTTTTGTGTCAAAGTGAGCACAGTTCAAACAAGAAGCACCCTCTCCCTCTGCCATTCATCCCAGAGTCCCCTGGGGTCCTAGACTGTCTCCGATGCCCTGGGAGCCTCTTACTTTGGCCATCTCTGATGAGAGCCAGGGTACAATTACATTCTGTCTTTCCCTTTGAAGTTCATCTTAACTAGAGGTCACTTGTAGGGGAAACAGTGTCACAAAGGGCTGTTAGCATCTGGGAATCAGAAGAACAGATGGGACGTAGAGGGGGCTCTCTTCTTGCCTGCTTCACCTAGGTGATAAGATGAGCCTATTCCCACTTTCTTTTCCTTTTTTCTTTGCTTCTCTTTTGTTTCCTTCCTTCTCCTTTCTCTTCTCTGTTTTGAAGAAGGGTTTGGGGAGGGAGGTTTAGTGATCACGCTTATAGTTAGGAACATTAGCAGCTACAAATGGGAGTGACAGTTTTGCTGGGTGAAAAGGAACAGGATTGGATAACAGTAGGCAAGGGTTTCTATTTCTGGCTTTACCACTGGGTTGTTGTGTGATCTTGGGCAGCTGGGCCTCAGCTAGCTCATTTCTAAAGCACAGGGTTAGATTAGGTGATGCTCAGAGGCCCTTGTAGCTCTGACATTCCAGGACTCCTTCTCACCTGCTGCCTTACTCAAATGTCGAGACTTAGTGCCTTGGGCTTCCCTCAGTGACTGTCTGCTATCACCTCAGCAGTGTGAATGGGGGGACAAAGTAACAGGTCAAGTCAATCTACTGATTAGTTTTTCCCCAGTGACTCTTGGAAAACACTGCGCAAGGTACAGGTACTTAACATTTCTATGGGTTCTCTCATCCCCATATATTTTTCCTAAATGAAATATCTTTATTATTTACTATTAGTATTGAATCATTAAAGTACAGATACATGCTGTGAAAATAAATCCAATTAGAGACATATTCCCAATGAAATTTCCCTATAACCAGATTCACCCATGATATATATGTTTCCAGAATTTTCCTTTTTTTAAATTTAAATTCAATTTGCCAACATATCCTACAACATTAGTTTCAGATGTAGTTTTCAATAATTAATCAGTTGCATATAATACCCAGTGCTCATCACATCACATTCCCTCCTTAGTGCCCATCACCCAGTTACTCCATCCCTCTCCCCTCCTCCCCTCCAGCAACCCTCGGTTTGTTTCCTACGATTAAAAGTCTCTTGTGGTTTGTCTCCCTCTCTTATTTTTTCCTATTCAGTTTCCAGTTCTTCTTTTATGATCCCTTGCACTATTTCTTATATTCTGCATATGAGATAATTTTCTTTCTCCGATTGACTTATTTCACTTAGCATAATACCCTCCAGTTCTAACCAAGTCAATGTAAATGGTAGGTATTCATCATTTCTGATGACTGAGTAATATTCCATTGTGTGTATGTATATATATATATACACACATTTTCTTTATCCGTTTATCTGTTGAAGGACATCTCAGCTCTTTCCATAGTTTGGCTATTGTTGTTTCCAGAGTTTTTCAAAATACACATATAAATATGAAATACTTGTGTTTTTATCAGTGGAATTTTAATTCTTGCTTTGATTTTCTGATTCATAGGCTGCTGACATGCTGACAACCAGGAGTGCCGTAGCACAAGAAGAGAATGGAGCAGCCATTGCCAAGGGGAGACAGAGAGGAGCTGTTCCCAGCTGCAAGCCTGGTCCTGCAAGAGTCTCCACATTTTTTCCTAGTGCAGGTTGGATGTAAATTTCAACCCGAAAGAACTTTAGACCTTCTGATGGTTAATTTTACGTGTTAACTTGACTGAGCTAAGGGATGCTCAGATAACTGAGCATTATTTCTGGGGATGTCCATGAGGGTGTCTCTGAAATGTATTAGCCTTTGAATCAATAGCCTGAGTAAAGAAAGTTGCCCTCACCACTGTGAGTGAGCCTCATCTAATCTCTTGAGGGCCAGAATAGAACAAGATGGTGGACTATGGGACTTCTTAAACTCCAGTATTATGTGAGCCAATCCTTGTAGTAAATCTCCTCTTACATCTACATATATATGTCCTATTGGTTCTGTTCTCTGGAGAACACTAACAATCCTATTTTTGGCTCTCACAAAAGCTTGGTAAAAAGGCTAGGAAGCTTCACAAAGCAAGCTTAAACCCTGTTTGTTGTTAGAACAATGGACAGAATCTCTTGGGATTGCTATTTCTTTCTTTCTTTTAAGAAACTTAAACATTACAAAACATATGCTTTTTAATGTGAAGAGATTATAAAACAAATAAGTCTGTTATAGATATAATAAATATAGTGCTCCTTTATCCAAAAATGTGCTTGATGTTCTTAACAAAGAATATATAAACTTTCCACACACATATATCTAAGTAGCCTTTTCTGTCATCTTGATACGTGCCATTTAGAAATAGTTTGAGGTGATTGGTCATTTATTACATCTCCTGGGAACTAGGCACTGAAACCACATTCATTCATCCAGGTCTTTGGAATATGGAGATGAATATAATCTAGGTTCTTTCTCTGAAATTTCTCAGAGTATGTTAAGAATGGTTCCCTCCAGGAACTATAGTATAGTATGGTGCATGCAAAGTTTAGAAATATACTAAGCATCATGAGAACAGATAGAAAGAGGTTATTAGTTGAATACATGCGAATCTGGTAAATGTTGAGGTCATTTAGTAATTCATAACATCTTCCTGTTCAGACATTAATCCGAGATACATGCTATTTCCTTCCATTGTGAGAACCTCAAAGATGCTCATGTGTGAATTTGCAGACAGAGGGCGCCAGTTTCTACTCTCAGCTGAGCCAGAGATGTGGGTAATAACATTTTAATTTTTCTCTGTAGAAGCCTGGCTTTTCTTCCCCTCCATCTCCTAAATTTGCAGCCTTCCACATGCTTGGGTGGGAGCATGTGTGTCTCACATTCTAGTTCAGCAACACTGGCTTCATTTATAGAGCATGCCAGTCTGCGAGCCCTTCCACCAAGCTGAGATAGACTCTGGTAATATCCAGACATCTTCCCTGGAAATCTGTGTGGGACCAGCCCAGAAATCTGTGTGTACTCTCACTCAGTCTAGAGAAGTGTAGTGTAGGTGAGGGCATTCACGCACCATTATAAGAAGTATATTTGACACCTCACCCCAGGGAAGTGATGTGTGCTGACTTAGTCTGAGTTAACTGGAAAAAGACCTTGAGACAAAGAAAAACATGTAGAGGGCTTCCTGTGGATTGCTCTTAGAAGACACCCTGTAGGAAGGTCAGGAGGACTGGATTAGGCGATGGGAAAAACTGATCAGCAATGCTGTTACAACCAAAGTTTCAGTTGAACCCAAAGAGAACTCTGGAGCTGAGCCAGACCTTCAGAATTATCTTAAAATGGGTCAAGGGTACAGGATCTGTGTCCTCACATTAGCCAGTCCCTGACTATGGGCTGCCCCCGAGGAAGGAGGGTAACCTTGGATGAATTAGTTCTCTGCAGCCAAGGGTGATTCCCGGGGAGGGATGCAGCTATGGCAGCACGGGGGATGGATGTTAGGAGAAAGAGGGATCTGTTCTCCTACAGTCTAACTTTAGTGTCATTCAGATCTACTAACATTACATCTCAACCTGAAAAAGGTCCTTCAGGATTCTGATTGGTCTCATTTTCTAGCAATTTACAGGCAAAGGATTAGTGAGACAAACCATACCTCTTACTGCTACAGTTGACCTTGAAGCCCTAACTGATACTTTCTCCCCACTCTGTCACCATTCTAAATACTCCTCACCTTGACTCACACCATTACTATTCTAAGTCTGGTGAGGTGAACCAGATCCTCATCCCTTAGGGATCTGAGCCCCTGGTTGCTATGCTTTTCTTAGGACATGCCTACCGTATCTTTCAATTTACCTTAAAACAGGGCATGTAAACACTAAGGGATGTCTCAGTGCCAGAGATATTCTATTCTGCCCCCATTGTCTAGCAGCAGCCCCGACTTCTGTTGTACGATTCCTTTCCATGCCTATTGGTCTTTTAGTATGAGTAATTCAAAATGACTGCTGGCAGTGGTAGCTTAAAGTTTAATGAACTCTTACTGAGAACCTACGTCAAAGTATCTCCCCTCTGAGAACTAAGATGTCTAGACCCACAGAGCCTAAGGTTGTAGGATTGAGAGAATAGATTCCCAAGTGGAATAGAGGTTGATGGTTAAGTGGGCCCATTCCTATTTTTAGTTTTCTAACTCAGGTATTCTACTTATAGGAGTTGCAGTGCCATACAATAGCTATTAATTTAGGATCCATACTATGTCTAGGTACTGGTATCGTCTTCATGTTGACATCTCAGTGGCTTCTTTAAGAGCCCTTTCTACCATTCTATAAGGGTTGTGACTCTTGAGGGTACAGGAGGTGGCAGGACAAGTGGATCCCATGGTTGAATGTCCACTGCCAGTGCAGAACTTTTTTTTTTTTTCTCATAAAGTGGGTCCCTTGTTCCATGGCAATGTTAGTTAGGATTTTAAGTCAGCTCATGAAATCTTCAAGTCCTTAGGTAGTTGTAGTTGTAAGCCCTATGCACAGAAAAGGCAAGCCCATACTGGATTATGTATTGGTATTAATAAAATAGAATCATTGGTCTTTTTAGGGTGAAAGGTATCCAGAGTAGTCAACTTGCTATCAAGTGCCTAATTCATCTTCTTAAGAAATGGTGCCAAATATGGCACTTAGCCTTAATTTCTGTCACTGGTAGGTTGAATATTCAGTGGCAGCAGTAGCTAGATCATGTTTGGTGAGTAGCAGCATATCCTGATGGAGCCATGCATAGCTTCCATCCCTTCTATCATGATTATCAGGAGTTAGGGTGGCCCATAACAAACACCAGTAATGTCAAATGATTGGTCATTTTGTCCACTTGATTGTTTAGTATCTCTCCCATTATGGGTACTCTCTTGTGGTTTTTAGTATGCCATACTAAATTGTTCACACTTTATATTCATTCCTATTTGTTTATTGAGATGAGCTTCCTGAGACCTTGTTCTAGTCTTTCAATCTTTCTCCTTTTAGGAATCTGGTCCAACTGGCCAGTCCAATAAAAGATACCCTAAGTCTATGAATATTTTTACTTTGGGCCATTTCTCTCTCCAAAAAATGGAAGGCCAGATGCACTGCCCAAATCCTTTATAATTGGTAAGATTTGTCCTCATTGCTCTCTTTTAAGGACACTCCTCTTGAGGCCATAGAGTAATAGCTATCCATTTTCAGCTCACACTGACTTACCAAGATGACCTGTCCATGAAATAAGCTCAGACCTTTTCCTTCTCCATCAGCTGGGTATAGGAAGCTCAAACCCCACCCCTGGACAGCCTAGCCCCAGCAATAGATGTGAGCTATAAGAGGGAGGCATCATCAATGGTAGGTGACATGGGGATTGAGATTACCTTTTTTTTTTTTTTTTTTTGAGATTACCTTCTTAAATAGCTTACTAGCAGATCATGCTCATGGCCACTCCCAGATATACCTCTCCCAGCTTACAAAGAATTGGCTCTGGGTTGGCTTGATTTTATGACTTCATAGGTATGATAGGCCATGATGCCCATTCCCAAATAGTCCATCTTTACGAGGATCTCATGGCAAGCTAGGTCCTGCCTTTCAAGTGTTGCAGATGGCATGATCTTGCTCCAAAACCCTAAGGGTCACATTGTGATTCCTACTGGGGCTTGCCATCAGCATTACTTGGTGTTTTTATTCTAAACACAGAAATCTCTAATACTACAAGGTCTGCCAGGTTGTATGGCCAAATGACAGGACTACTTGTGCCACAGCTTGGACCTGCTGCAGAGCCCTTTCTAGGCCTCATTTAAAGCTGGCAGCCTTTCATGTCACCTGGTAAGTGGGTCAGGGCAGCTTTCCAAGTGTAAAATATGTTTCCTTCAGAATCCAAAGAAACCTATAATGCATTGTGCTTCTTCCTTAGTGGTGGGAGATGCGAAATGCAATAATTAGTCATTTATTTAGGGAATATCCTTCTATGTCCCCAGACCATTGAACACTAAAAACTTCACTGCTGTGGCAAGACCCTAAAACTTTGTAGAGTTCATCTATTCCTTCTGGAGTATGTGTACTTTACCAAGGCCTCCAACACATCTGTCCCTTCTTACTTGCCTGGTCTAGTTAGTATGATATTACCAAGATGGTAGACTAATTTATGGTTTTGGAATATTCAGATGTTTCAGTTCTCTTTGGTAGAAGGAAGGTGAATTAACAAAGTCCTGGGGCAAGACTATAAATGTATACTGTGGTTTGTAAGCACACACTGCTTGTGAAAGGGAGGAGGGAAAGAATGGCTTTACTAGAGTAGTGTCTGCATATCATGTACTGGAGTCTGTGTTAATTTACTCTAATAAAGGTACCCTAGTGGATGATAGCTACATTTGCGGATGCTTTTTTGGTTACTGGCAGTGTCTATTGTCATCCACCATGATCTATCTGGGTTTTGAGATCCTAGCATTCCCGTTGCCATCAGGAAGTCCAGTTCTGTATTAGCATCTCCTACTGTCAGGTCCCACTGTAAGAGGACAGAACCCTGAGCATCTTAATGGTGCTGGTGTCATTTTCCCAGCACATTCCTTATCACTTTAATAAATGGGCTGTCCTCCTAGTCTGCCGTGGAACATTGTTAGCTGGTAGTTTTTCTGCCAATGTCCACCTTATAATCTCCACTTTCCTGAACCTTTGAACTCATCTTCCATCATCTGTCATGGAAGTTCTGGTATATCTGTTTAGTGTGGACCATTGGTTTTTCCAAGATTTACAGATTCAACCTGGAGTTTATCAGTGCCTTTTCCCAGAATTTTTGCCAGAGTGCTACATTCTGTATTATGAGGAAATTTTAATATATTTGCCAGCTAAAACCAATTCTCTTTTATCCGACCTTGTTCCTTCCCTTGATCCATCACCCTTGGGATCTAGTCCAATCCACTCCCAACTCCTGTATTTATTAGCTCCTCTCTTCCCTTAGATGATCTTGTTGTCTGTGTCTTGATTCAATCATGATTTTGACCATGATCCCTATTAGCCTGATTAATAAAAGGGGAGATTGGAGCAGGGATCCTGAGGGCAGCCAGTAAATCTTGTAAGGCACCTGACTCATTTGAGACCTCTGACTGATACTCATGAAGGGAGGTGCTCTCTATCTTCCATTTCGGGGAAGAGGCCACTTCTGCAGGTTCACAGTTTTGGAAGAAATAGGGAGTTCAAAATTCTCATT